CCGGTCTTTTGCTTATCCCGGGATCCCGGGATAAAAGTGAACTGTTTCCCGGGATCCCGGGAAATCCCGGGATAGAATTAATTATTTTTAAGGTATACAAAATATCTTGAAATCAAATGATATAATTATTTTCCATTTTTTAAAGTAATTTTAAAGTTTTGTAACCTCCAAAATCATATTAATAATGCTGTGTTAGGTCTATAGGCCTATAATAAAAATTACCTTTAAATAACGTAGAAATTTTCACAAATAGAAAAAAATTAATTAAAGTTTGCTGGAAACTGCATACAACAACAACAAAAAAAANGGCACGTCGGGATCGCAGTGACCATTTTTCTCGATGCTGCTGCAGCAGTTCAGGACATTGCAACAATTCAACTCACCACAGTATTAACAACTACTGCTGGTACCAGAACCGTTTTGGCACAAAGGCACAAAAATGTACTCCTCCGTGTAGTTTTTCCAACAAACGAGAGCGGCGAAGCGTAAAGGCGACATGCACTTTGCCGGAACAATCTCGTCGCCTGTTCATCCTAGACAAGAAAATGAACATAAACTTTCTCGTTGATGCAGGTTCCGACGTATCAATATTTCCAGCCTCCTCATCTCAAAAGAAGCGCGCATCTCAAATGACCTTGACAGCAGCAAACACAACTGCAATTCATGTCTACGACCAACGAACACTCACTCTCGATTTTGGGTTAAAGAAAATTTTTCGCTGGAAATTCCTTATTGGCAACGTGTCAACGGCAATAATAGGTGCAGATTTTTTGTATCATTTCCATTTGGTACTGAATCTTACACGCAAATGTCTCACAGACATTCAGACAAAGGTGAACTCTCCAGGCAAATTATTAGAAACCTTCATCCACTCTATTAAGATAACGACCAACGACTCCTTATATCATAAGATATTGGAAGAATTTCCTGAGATCACCAGACCTCCACGTCCTAATCAACCCGTAAAACACAATGTAGTACATCATATAGAAACGATTGGTCCGCCCGTAACTGCGAAACCACCTCGCCTAGCACCCGATAGACTTAAAATCGCTAAGGCCGAATTCGATAAAATGATAGCTCTCGGCCATATGCGAACATCAAAAAGCAATTATGCATCACCACTCCACATGGTCACCAAGAAAAACAGTTTGGATTGGTGACCAGTGGGAGATTATCATGCTCTAAACGCACAAACCATAAAGGACAGATACAGCGTTCCAAACATCGCAGATTTCACATCGGAAATGCACAGAACACAAATCTTCTCTCACATAGACTTAATCAAACCCTATCATCAGATACCCATCTACTCACTGCACGTGCACAAAACAGCTATAATGACACCGTTTGGTCTTTTTGAGAGTACCAGGATGCAATTCGGATTGTGCAACACATCTGCAACATTTCAACGGTTCATCGGCAAAGTAACCAGAGGACTCTCCTTCGCATATGCTTTCGTCGATGACATACTAATAGCATCACGCTCCCAGGAAGAACACATCTCGCATCTTTGCACCTTATTCCAACATCTCCAGGAATATGGACTGACCATAAATCTGTCAAAATGTAGCTTCGGCGTACCATCAATCGAATTTCTCGGATTCAAGGTCTCGGAAAAGGGTCTGGAACCACTCCCTGATAGAGTCAGAGCCATCCGAGAATTTCCCAAACCTTCGTCTCTCACTCAACTTAGACGATTCTTAGGTATAATAAATTTCTACAGGAGATGCATCCCTTGAGCGGCACACATCCTCGCCCTGCTAGTGCAACTACTAGAAGGGAAAAAGAACGAGAAACATACGTCACTCACTTGGAAAACACAATCACGATCTCTGCAATGGTCAGAAGCGGCAGAACAATCCTTTATATCAGCTAAGGAAGCACTGGCCAAAGCCACACTTCTCCACCATCCAATACCCGGAGCTAAACTATGCATATGGATAGATGCGTCAGATGCAGCAGTTGGAGGAGCACTGATGCAATACAACAGGAAATGGGAACCCATAGCTTTTATCTCAGCAAAACTGGCACCAAACCAACGCAACTGGTCAGCTTATGATAGAGAACTATTGGCAATATATACATCAATAAAACGATTTCGCCACATGTTAGAAGGCCGTGAATTCACGATCTACACGGATCAAAAACCGCTTATATATGCCTTCAAACAAAAACCAGATAAATGTTCACCACGACAAATGTGGCATCTCGATTTTATATCCCAATTCTCTATGGACATATGTCATATTCTGGGCACAGCCAACACAATAGCAGACGCTCTCTCCCGCATCAAGATAGATTCTATCACCTCTGCTTCCCCTCTAGACTTCCGAGAGCTAGCCACATCGCAAGCTACAGATTCGGAACTTCATCAATTGTTAAAGGATCCTATGTCGCTCAAATTAGAGCTGAAATCCCTTCCACCTAACGAAATCGACCTATACTGTGACACATCATCCGGAATATCTCGCCCCTTCGTGCCGCATAATTTCCGACGAATCATATTCGATCACCTACATGGACTTTCTCATCCAGGAGCAACAGCAACCACTAAGCTAATTTCAAGTCGTTATGTTTGGCCGGGCATGCGGAAGGACATCCGTCAGTGGGCACGACATTGCATCCCCTGCCAGAAATCGAAAATCCACCGCCACGCCTGGACACCAATAGGGAAGTTTACACTTCCGGAAGCAAGATTTTCCCATCTTCACATGGACCTGATAGGACCACTTCCGCCAGCTGACGGGAAACACTACTGCCTTACAGTGATCGACCGTTTTACCAGATGGCCAGAAGTCATCCCAATTGCCGACATATCTGCTGAGACGGTATGCCGAGCCTTTTTCTCAGGTTGGATCGCAAGATTCGGATGTCCTACTACCATCACAACTGATCAAGGACGTCAGTTCGAATCGAACCTCTTCCGAGAACTGACCAGACTTCTCGGCACCAATCGCATCCATTCAGCAGCANTTTTCTATTATATATTTCAGCACCGAGATAATGTCGTCGTTTCCTTCATATACACGGATAAACATATTCAGTTCTTCATACAATTCATGTCCATCAATATCAGATGTTTCTCCTACTGTTAGAGATATTTGCAAGTCGCTGCATTGCTTCAAAAGTTCACAATCACTAATTTCCTTTAATCTTTTTATGTTATACATGAAACCAAATATGCTCTCATGATGTTTAAGTGCCTCAAATCTAGGTTGGCAGCTTGCGCGCACATTGTCGACAATGACATAAAAATAGTTTATTTTGAAAATCTCTTCCGCAGACAATTCAAGAGCTTCATCTTTCCGGTCATAATCAAAATTCGTTCTTTTACGTCTCCTTCTCACGACTTTGAACTTTCTATCAATATCATTTTCCTCGGCTATTTCTCTCGCTGTTAACAAGGATGATTGGAAACCATTTTCCCGATAATTATCAAGCCAATGTTTAAATGCCTCTAGGTGTTGTATAGCCACATCTAGGTGCATTTTTTCGCTCTGCCAGATTTTACTTATAACATTTATCTTTGTAAGAATGTCATACCATACGACGAGAGCAACTATAAATTCGTAGGTAGTTATTTCCTTTTCTACAGAATGGCATTCTCTAACCAACTGACAATCTGTTGTATTTTCTGCTAAATCCTTCAAAGCATCACATATATTGCTTAGTTGGTATTTAACGGCCTTCACCGATTCTACTCTGCATTCCCATCTAGTTTCAGAAAGTGGTTTTAGCGATAACGATTTTACATGTGCTTTTAAAATAGCCCACCTCTGACTCGAGCCGGCAAACAGAGTGTACAGCCTTTGTAGCAAACCAAAAAAGATTTTGCTTGAACACAAGAGGATGCTGCATCTCCTAGGATGAGATTCCAGCTGTGACTCCCACAAGGTAAAAAATANAACCACCACGCCAAAACCACATGCCCATTCCTTTCACAGGGAGGTGCTGAATTATATGGATATATAGGCCTAAAGACAATGAATGACAATCTGTCATCTTTCAGTACCGATTCTTTTTGAAGGTAGTCAGGCAGGCAAATAATATGGTGCATTGTCATGCAATACTGTACACAGAAATGAATCCAAAGTAGAGTAAAATAGGAAGTGTGATATGACCAACATTTTCATGGAAAAGGAGTTATACAGTATAGACCAGTGATTCTCAAACTTTTTCGATCCACCGCCCCCTTTGTTCCATAAAGTTATACCCAACGCCCCCTAACCCATTTTCTCTTGTGTGAGAAAAGGATTGGAAATATTCTTAGGAAAACTTTTCTATGAATCTCACACTTTGTGCCCTTACTGTACATTGTTCTCATCATCTGGACACCGTTAAACGCAATGTTTTCCTCTTATCAGCCCCAATTTTGCCTTTGGTCACCGTTCAATACCCTGCCTCTATCATAGATCTATTCATCACGCCAGAAGGGGACGTTATTGCTTACTTTGAGAAACGCTGAGCTAAAATAAAAGTCAATGTGTTAGAAATATTCAACTTGTGACCTTCAATAAAAAATAAAAAATATATAAAATGTCAACATTTTATATATATTCCGTCGAATTTTTATATATAGAATTTGTCTGCCGTCACCCCTCTATATTTCCTTAACGCCCCCCAATTCTCTTTGAGCCTTCTACTGCCCCCCTGAAAGCCTCCAGCGCCCACAAGGGGGCGTTATCGACCACTTTGAGAAACGCTGGTATAGACAATCATGCTGGATAACCAGATTATTGAGGATCAGATTAGCAAGAGTGTACTGTATATCAGATATTTTTTTACAATTATGATGTCAAAGTTACTTTTGAAATATCTACCATTTAATCTGTTACTTTAATAGTTACATAATTATCATTTTTTATATCATATGAAGTTTATAAATGAAATTATTTTTAATTTCATTTTAACAAATTGATTATAAATTGCTTAATTTTGGTGACAAGTTTTTAATCACCACTAAAATTATTATTAAAGTGTAATATTTATTGAACAGGAAGAACGTATTAGCCAAGCAGTTGAAATAATGATAAATCATGTTGAGAATTTAAAGAGACTTTACAAAAAGGAACATTTAGAATTAGAAGAAATGCGTAATTTATGGAATGAACAAGGATTTAATAATGATGATAGTGGTGGTGAGACTTGTTCCGGAGATGAAAGTAAAAGATCTTTAAGGTCAATAATGATGTCTTCCACAGCAAAACAGGTAAATAGAATCATTATAGTTTAATCATACTTGAATTTTTATAAAACAAATTGGGTTTTATATTTTCTTAATCAAATTTTTATAAATACAGTCTGGTCTTTATTAGGTGATATTAATTTTTATTATCACACAAATTGTATTTCAAATTTCTCTTGAAAGCTGAAATTTCTTGGATAAAATCACAAAGCACACCTTTCATACTTTCCAGCAGAACAAACATTTTGGCCCAGTTAACAGGCCTGCTTCAAGATAGAAGCCATTCAAAAGGTGAAAGAGCTATATTGAGTTTTAAAGTGGAATAACTCAATATTCCATGATGTTATTTAAAATTTTGCAATTTGTTATTTATATATATATATAAATTAATTAAAAAATTACATTGGATAATTATATGTACAAATTAATAAATAATATAAAGCACAAGGAAATCAATAGTTTATTATATCTTATCTTCTGTTATACCCTCTTCACACTGTACGTTTTAAGCAGGATTCAGATTTAAGCAGAATTAAGTTAAGTCACATTGCTAAAAACAAGATTAACTACTTGTTCACACTAGCTAATTAAAGCGAATTATTCATTTAGCCCTTAAGCGGGTGCACTCAATATTACATTTTAAATAAAATCAAATTTTTGCTTATTTTTCATCATAAATTAATTTATATTTAGTAATTTAAAATATAAATAACTTATTTAAAATACATAAGACGCATACATAAGTTAGGAATTATCAACATTTATTATCAGTGATGTCGTCATCATTGGCAGCAGAATTCTCTCAATGTTATCATTTTAGTCTATATACCTTGCATTTTAGTGACAGAACTGTGATAAGAATGGATTCTCAACAGAAATACTTAAATGCTTAATTACACAAAAATATATGTAAAATGTAGTTTGTGAACATGCTTAAATATTTTACAATGTCTATCCAGACAAATGTTTTGTGACAATTTTTAAATTTAACTAGTATGCCATAGTTCTTGCAGTCATAGATGCCAAATGGTAATAAAGGTACACGTACAATTTAATAATAAATATTTTTGATGATTATAAGTGGATTATAACCTTGATATAATAGGATACATCTAATGATAGTTTACCTATATCCAATTCAGGTGATTGTAAACATTCTACCATCAACTCTCTTCCATTAAGATACATTCTGGGCTGGCTGATGCCCTATAATTGAATTAACTACCTGGAAATATTGCCAGGTAGATGGGCTGCCTACTGAATGCCCAATCTTCATTACTTCTTCCCTAGTTAATAAAATAAAAAAGAAAATTACATTGTTTCAAGTAGGAAGGATTAATTTTTTCTTTTAAAATTTAAAATTAGTTATTACTTTGATGTTTACATCATTTACATTTATTGTACAAGTCACAAGAAATATAATTTTCGTCATTTAGTATCAACATTCGAAATATAACTGTTTAAAGAATTCCTTTATTTAAATATTAAACATTAATTAATTTAATGATCAAATATTTTCACAATTTTAACTTACCTGTATTTGGCAGTTAAATTTTTAATTTTTGCCCTTATTTTGGACCATGTTCTGGCTCTGGATGTTGGCTTCCAAAGACAAATTTCTGCCGCCATTGCTTCGTATATCATTTTATTTTGTTTGGCTCAATGTAAATCGTCAATCTTTTCCCTTCATATATCAGTTAAATTGTTACTTCCTCCTTCGACCAATTTTCCAAGCATTTTTTTTTTTTTGCTTTGTTTGAACATTTGTACATCTGCTTCCACCATTATTTTTTAACTTGTGGCGGACCTCAAGGAAAGCTTGAAGCAACTTAAGCTTCTTTGAGAAAGAGATTTAAGCTGAGCCAGTTGTTCGTAGTTAAACCAGTTTAACATTAAGTCAGTTCCATTCATATTTCATACCTTAAGCTGGCTTAAAATATACAGTGTGAATAGGATTAGAATAAGGTTAGAGAGCAAAGCTTGCCAAACTTTGCTCTCTAACCTTATTCTAACAGAGTTATAACTGCAGATTAACTGCAACAATAGAGAAAGCATAAACTGGGATAGGTTAATGCTTTTTCTATTATTGATGCAAAGCCTTTTGATTTCTTCCTTTTAGATGTTGATGGCTTCTATTGTTCTTAATTTTTGGACATCAGATATTTGGCACACATGGCTAACATGTGGACACACCAAGTTTGCTGGCTTATTAGGTTAAAGTAGTGATGTAATTGCCTTTAAGGATGTTAAATTTATGCTCTTTTAATCTAGCATCTATCAATTTAATAGTTAAATCTATATAGGTTAGGCATCTACTGAATCTAGAATTGTCTAGAGGTATAGTGTATACCCTAGGGATCCTTATCTCATTTATTTCATCTTTTCCATTTGTTATCATCCTGAATACTGTTGGTGTTTGTTTAAATGCTATATCTATTTTTATATCCTTTGCTATATTAGCATATATTTTGTATAATATAGTGTTGAATTCAATGGTTACATGTTTACAGGTTGGTCTTGTTTTGTGTCTTTTTGTGAATCTCAGGCCATTTATGATAGATAGACTCACCCAAACACCACATTTTACATCCAGATATGTGACATTTGCTTAATTCCATCTATCATAAATTGTCTGAAATTGTTTTGAGTTATCACATGAGGTAAAAGTGTCATTACAGGAGGCATTACAGGTGGTCGCAAAAGATAGCTTACAGCAATGCTACAGAAGCTGCATGAGTGCTGGAAAAAGTGTATCGTTGCTCAAAATAATTTTAAGGTGGTTATGCATCAGTGTTTTGAACTATTCAAAGAAAGGAACTATATGCTAAGTCCCCAAACTTTTGGATCCTACTATGATGTATTCATTATATTTATGTTCAGTATAAGACATACATTATATTTTGTATATTTATGGATTTTTTTTATTAAATTTTGCCTTTACAAGAGAGAAAAGAAGCAAAATCAACAAAGTTACATTATTTATATCCATGATTCAATTTCTTTTAACAGAAAATAGTTTATTGTAACTGTTCCAAAAATGTATAATCTAAGACAGTGATGGGCAAACTACGGCCCGCGGGCCAGATGCGGCCCCCTAAAATGTTCTATCCGGCCCGCGCAACATTATTCCTAATCTGACGAGTAAAAAAGAATACAGGCTGTGGTGGTTGATGCACCACTTAACTTGAGTGTTCGTTGATTATACAAAATAACCGAAGCTTTATATCTCACCATGAAAGTTTATTTACAATCATGTACAAAATTTTGTTTTACACTTATTGAGTAAAAGCTCGATCGGTTACAAGCATGCTTCGGTACAGAACATCCACTCGTCGTGCGTAGCGTAGCCGAAAGAGAGAAATAGAAATATGGCAGACGGCCTGCACATGTTTTTATAGCGCCACCTGGATTTTCAGATGCAGAGCTAGGTTACAATTATATTGGCCCGCCTAAAGTTTTCTTGTTTTCCTTTGGCCCGCTCTTTAAAAAGTTTGCCCATCACTGATCTAAGAGATTTTAAGAGAGAACTAGTTCTTTAAATAATTGAGAATTCATTTATAAATAATATATAATAAGTATACAAGATTATTTTCACATAATAGAAATATATATAATTAAACATTTCTGTAAGAGTTCATTTTAGAACAACCTGTAATATAAATTAAACAAGTGATTTGTTTTATTGGATTTTTACTTCATTAATAATTTTTGATTTTAAATGACATCTATTTGCATGCTAGCATGTACGGAAAGCACTTGCACAGGTTTCTGGTAAGTAAGGTGAGTTACCTAACAAAATATGTTTGTTATTAATGACATTTTTTATAAGTATTATAGTATTACTGATTTCACAAATCTTGGCCAGGTTTAAAAATGTGCAATAGCAGGGACTAGTCTATTTAACATCAATGTTCCCTCTAATTTTTTTTGTCGATGAGCGGAGCATATACTTCTCTGAGCAAAAAAAGTTTTTGCTGAGCAGATTCTGAGCAAAAAATTTTTCTGATCATATATATATATATATAATCTTATTTTTTTTCTATAAAACCTACCTACGATACCGTACGTTCGA